GCGCGGGGGGGGCCCCACCGGGCGGGGGGCTGGAGAACACAGCGAGTGGGCCGCCGGGGGTCCCACAGGGCGGGAGGCCGGGGCGGTCCCCATCTGCAGCCCTGCTGGGGTGGCACTACGCGTGGCAGAGCGGGGCACCGGGGAAGCCGCTGGGCAGGGGACTGCAGAGCACACGCCGTGGGCTACCGGGGCGCTCAGGGGTTGGGAGGCCAGGGTGGCCATTGGGCCACAGGGAGGCTGGGCAGTGGGAGAGGGAGCGGAGCCGCAGACGACATGTGAGATGGAGGCAGCAGGCACTGAAATGGGAGCTGGTTGCGGCATGGGACTGCCAATGGTGTGGGCTACTGGCGTGCACACAGGGTGAGATGGTGGAGCAGACATATGGGTTGGGACTGCCTGAGTAGCTGCAGTGGGACCAGAGCCGGCCATGAAGTGGGTCAGCAGGGCACTCACCGCATTATTGGCAGGGACAGAGACAGAGTAGGACATCGGCCCAGTTCCGCCTCCAGGCTGGTGTGTGGGAGCAGGACCTGTCTCAAACACCACGTGAGGCATAGGGGCGCACACGGGGTTGGATGTTGGGGCAGCCATGGAGCCATACATGGACGGAGGCATCGGGGCACACGTAGCAGGAGGCACAGTCTCACATATGACACGGAAGCCAGGATCGCCTCCCAGGTCAAAACCAGGATTGATACTTGGATTGAAGCCTTGGTTGCAGATGGAGTTGCATAAGGGATGGCCCGCAGGGAGGTACACGAAGTCGTACACAGGCTGGCCCCCTGCACTGCAGTTTGGGTTGCACACTGGGATACATATATATTCACACATGGAGTTGAATGCAGGGTCCGCCACAGGGACAGGACCAGAACTGTTCATGGGGAGGGATCCATTCTCACAGACCGGGAGCGACCCATTCTGGCTGACGGGCAGGGTGCCATTCTGGCCTGCGGGGCAGCACACTTCAGCCTTGGCACATCCTTTGCAGTATGCAAACTTGTGGCATCCAAAGTTGGCCAGGAGCCGGTGGCTGCCAAGTCTGTAAGGTGTGAACTCCACAATGGTCCGCGCCTGTTGGTTGGATGCCAGTGTTCCCAAACTGGACAGAGAAAAGGAAAAGAATTAGAACTCTGGGTAGCTCAGAGACCTGAAGCGCTACAAGATGAGCTCACACGATCAGGCTTGATTTGCTACGACATGTTTTCAGAGACAAACTGTTATGACAACTTTTTTATTCTTGCCTTCCTCCAAAAAAATACATTCTGTGTTGTGAAAAACATGGTAACAACTTCTGTCCCAACAGAAGATTTGGAAAACTCCCATAGTCAGTTCTGTAATTGGAACTAGAAACTCATTGATGATACTCTCTTGAATTCTTCAAAAGTGTAGCACCCTTCTACAGCAGAAAGATGTATTTTCTGCTTCCTGTTTCCAGTAGTCTAAGTTGGATCAGGCAGCTTTGTGGAATCAAGTTCCTCATTATTCAGCAAGAAAAATTCCTAATTGCTTCCCCTCAAAACCAGTCATATTTCTGTCAGTTCTCCTTGTCATGAAGAACAACAATGCATATTAACAAAGAGCTACTTTTTCTAGGTTGTTATAGCATCCTGGAAGTTTCCAGCTTCCTGTGATTAACGTGTTATGATCTTAGAATGCATATTGCTATTTCTCACTGTCGTTTTTTAATTGTTCACGTATGTGATGCCAGTTCATGAATATTTAGAGGAATTCTATTATAGACTCAATGTGATTATGAAGGATGGGGCACACAGCTAGAATCTCTTGTAAAGAAAAGAGTGCATTCCCTTTCAGACAGAAATCTGAAAGGCATGCTTAAATTAAATCTTGAGAAACATGAAGCAGCAATATATCTTGCCAGCTTTAAATGAACCATTAGTTTCAAGAGGAGTGAGGCATTTAATGGAATCTCAAAGTAATAAGGGGCAAAAAAATCCTGTTCAGGTCCTAAACACCAAAAATATCAGAACTATTACAGAATCACAGAATGGTTAGGGTTGGAAGGGACCTCTGGAGATCATCTAGTCCAACCCCCCCACCAGAGCAGGGTCACCTACAACAGATTGCACAGGACAGCGTCCAGGCGGGTTTTGAATGTCTCCAGAGTGGGAGACTCCACAACCTCTCTGGGCAGCCTGTTCCAGTGCTCCACTACCCTCAAAGTAAAGAAGTTCCTTCTCATGTTAAGATGGAACTTCCTATGTTCAAGTTTATGCCCATTACCCCTCGTCCTGTCACTGGGCACCACTGAAAAAAAGACTGCTCCCATCCCCCTGGCATCCTCCCTTTAAGTATTTTAAGTATTAATAACATCTCCCCTCAATCTTCTTTTCTCTAGACTAAAGAGACCCAAGTCCCTCAGCCTTTCCTCATATGAGAGATGTTCCAATCCCCTAATCATCTTTGTAGCCCTTTGCTGGACCCTCTCCAGCAGTTCCCTGTCCTGCTTGAACTGGTGAGCCCAGAACTGTACACAATACTCCAGATGTGGCCACACCAGGGCAGAGTAGAGGGGAAGGATGACCTCCCTTGACCTGCTGGCCACACTCTTCTTGATGCACCCCAGGATGCCATTCGCCTTCTTGGCCGCCAGGGCACATTGCTGGCTCATGGTCATCCTGTTGTCCACCAGGACTCCCAGGTGAGAGAGTCTCCCTGCTGGAGAGCAGCTCAGCCCCCAAACTGTACTGATGCATGGGGTTATTCCTCCCCAGGTGCAGTACCCTACACTTACCCTTGTTGAATTTCATCAGGTTTCTCTCTGCCCGACTCTCCAGCCTGTCCAGGTCTCGCTGTAAAGCAGCACAGCCTTCTGGCGTGTCAGCCACTCCTCCCAGTTTTGTGTCATCAGCAAACTTGCTAATGGTACACTCTATCCCCTCATCTAGATCATCAATGAATATATTGAACAGGACTGGGCCCAGTACTGACCCCTGAGGGACACCACTTGTTACTAACCTCCAACTAGACTCTGCACCACTAACCACAACCCTCTGAGCTCTATCTGTAAGCCAGTCCTCAATCCACCCCACTGTCCATTCATCTAACCCACACTTCCTAAGCTTGCCCGTGAGGATGATGTGAGAGACAGTGTCGAAAGCCTTGCCAAAGTCAAGGTAGACAACATCCACTGCCTTCCCCTCATCCACCCATCTAGTCACTTCGTCACAGAAGGCTGTCAGATTAGTCAGACACGACTTCCCCTTGGTGAATCCATGTTGACTACTTCTGATAATCTTCTTTTCATCCAGGTGCTTTGAGATGGTACCCAGAACAAGCTGTTCCATCAAAGAGGACAAAGAGGATTTTTGTCTTCCTCAAAACTTGCTCTGATCTAGCACACCTTGGTCAACCCCCAATATTATCCCCATTTAAATAATTGATGATCTTACTCAATGGTCATTGGCTCTTTGAATAAACCACAGCCTTCTAAGGTCATTACGCAGTTCTTCATATCTTCCTGGAGAGGATTGCAGAAGGAGATCTCTGCAGTACATGGTACTTTCAGCCTGGGCTGGCTCAGTAACTAGTCAGAAAATAAACATGTTTTATATTTTGTAACCCTTACAAAATTGACAATGAAGTAAATAAATGTGAGGGGGAAAAAAAAAAAAAGAAAAAAAGGATTATTCATACATGTTTCTTTCTGATTTACTTCTATGATCTCTATCCATTACTCCAAGTCAACTGTTATACATTTAAAATCACACTGATCTTGCTAAAATAAAAAATACAATAAAAGAGGAGAGAAAAAGAAAGAATTTCAACTTTATCAGCATTGTAAACAGGAAGTGGCCAATAAGAGTCCCTAAGTCTGTTCCTTGGATCACAAATCTCATAATTAAAGTTCTTTACCTTTACAATAACAGGTGGCCTGTTGATCACAATGTCCCTGCTCACCATCAGAACTTCTCCACACTCCGGGTCTGAGACAGCAACTACTTTCATAATGTTGTGATCACAGAGATAAGGTCCATATTGACTATATGATATACACAGTGGAATTTTTTTCACTGTAAAACAAATTTATTTTTATTATTATTTTCTGATTTTTTTGGCTAATATTTCCACTTTCCTTCCTCCTACAGTTTAACTTGCACTCACAATGGCTTGATTAAATATTAAGTTATCACAGCATCTTTGAAAACAGACACGATTTTTCCTGGCTTAGGGTAATACATTGCTGTCTTCAACAACCAGCTTCACAGTTTTCAGTTAATGTATCAGTGTATTTACAAGGAGGTTGGTTTATTGTTATTTCATTCCAGTGTAATTCTTAAAGCAATAATTCAAATGTAGGCAAATAAAATCTTAGTAAAACGGAATGTTAATATCAGGTATGAAATTTCATCTTATAATGATGTGTTTTAATTAAAGGGATCATTTTTCTTCCAGAAAAACATATTAACCATGAAAACAAGTGTTTACATTCTGATACACCTTTGCACTTCCCAGCATGCAGTATATCTAAAAAAATTACTTTAGTGCTCAAAAGAACTGTTTTACATGGGCTAATATCTTCTGGCCAAAGGAAACAAATTCCTTTTCTGATAGAAGCTGCAACTTTATCTTTGTATTGAATGTAGAATCCAGAATTGAACTTTTAGCAGAAACAACTTTTTAAATGATCATAAGAATCTCTAAGCCTTGAGAAATTAAGGAAAGGCTACAACTTACTTGTCATTATACATGTAATATTGACACTGTGTTGATTTTTGAGTGATCAGCCTAAAGTGAATTCAGATGCAAATATTTAAAATTGTATTCACTTCCCACCACTATCAGGACATCTCCACTAAACATAAAAACCAATCTTCTGAAAAGAAAAATAGACGAAAGGTTATTAGACAAATTAACCTTCTTACCTTCCCTTGGACCCAATGTGACGTTCACACTATCTTTCCAAAATTGATCCATTGGGCAACCACTGTAGGTTATTATTTGTGCACACAAATTAAACTTCAGGTTTTTGTTTTCACTACGCAAATTTTCAAGCAGCCAGTGCAGTTGGACATCTTCACCGTACATTGGGCAGTTAGCCATCTTTAACCTCATGTTAATACCAGAGTCACTCAAAAATGGGTTTTTCAGAGATGATAACTCTCGCTCAATATGACAGTTGGAAGCATTGCAGTACCCTGGGTGAATTCTTCTGTAAGCCCTGTAATAGGCTTCTTTGTTTTTCACAGAACCTGTTAAAGAAGATACATGGTGATGAACCTGCTGGAGGCACAAGAAGTCATATCTACCCAAATAATAAACATAATTAAATGTCTTCCTTCTCCTTCCTGAAACTTAATGTAGTGGCTTGATCTAGAACAAACCCACCAGATAGTGAAACACAAGATACGGTATTCTAAATGCATAGAAGAAAACAAACACCTCAGAAAAAACATTAAAAAAATAGTTAAATTTAAAAATGGGCTTGTAAATCTCAAAATGTATACTTTGTGCAAAACTCAAAATATAACTCTTTATAAGGGTTAGGGTGAAGACGAAATGCTGCCATGTCTCTCAAAAGGCAAAAGGCAAAATACACCATTCAAACAAAGAAACTATCGTTTTCTTTTTTGTGCCTGATAAAAAATAAAAAATTAAAACAACAACAACAACAATAAAAAAAAAACAGCTTGCAATTTTATGATCAACTGTGATCCACTCTTCATTCTTTTAGGCAATTTTTCTGTTGAACTCCTCCCCACTACTGGAAAATGAAAGTCAGTAATCAGTAGCCCAAAGTAAGAACCTCAAAATATCCTGATAACACATGAATTTACCAAGTAAACATATTCTTTGACAGACCTGGTACAAGCATCAATAAGTAAGAAGTTAATCCCAGATTTAAAAGAATTCAAAGTTTTTTAGATTATCTAAAGTCTGCTAATATTTTAAACTACTCTACGGGTGAGACCAAAACATATACATACACATAGTGGTATAAAAAGAGCTGGAAGGTATGTCCAGTGAGGAATGGCTAAGGACTCTGTGTTCATCTAGTTTGAGAAAAAGAAGGCTGAGGGGTGACCTTGTTCCTCCCTACAGCTTCCTGAGGAGGGGAAGTGGAGAGGGAGGTACTGATCTCTTCTCTCTGGGATCCGCTGATAGGATGTGTGGGAATGGTACAAAGCTGCATCAGGGCAGGTTTAGACTTGACATTAGGAAACATTTCTTTACCAAGAGGGTGGTCAAACACTGGAACAGGCTTCCTAAAGAGGTGGTCGATGTCCCATGCCTGTCAGTGCCCTAAAAAGAGGCATTTGTATAATGCCCTTAATAATACGCTTTAACTTTTAGTCAGCCCTGCAGTGGTCAGGCAGTTGGGCTAGATAATCATTGTAGGTCCCTTCCAACCAAAATATCCTATCATTGTAGGTCCCTTCCAACTGAAATATCCTATCCGATCCTATCCTAAAAGAATGTAGTTACTGTGTGTTTTGTTTGAATGACCTAAATACGTTTAGAAGTTTAAGAATCAACATCTTTGAGCAGAAAGACATCGTCCTCTTTCTCAAAAAAAGACAGCTTCAGATTGTTCTACTCATTTTAACACAGGACAGATTATATTGACAATTTTTTGTGATTAGTATTTAAAATTTCTTTTAACTCATTTAATGACTTTTCATCATACCTATTTCATACTTGTAAGCCCCAGTGATATCTTCAAATTGCTCACTGCCAACACTCTTGGTGATTAGTTGCTGTCCACATGGCCAAGCGTCGCAGAAAAATTTTGTTTTTTTGGCATTGTTTTGGGAAAGCCAGCCAACATAATTTGAATTTACTCGAGAAAACATATGATGACCATCATAGTCCAAGTCCAGTTCCCCTTCTCTGATGCTTCGAACCCATGTAGGACCACTGCAAGCTGAACCTAAGCCAGATAACAAAAATGTTATCATAGTTTGTAACCTGAGTAGTAGAGAAAATCAACAACATAACCTGAGGAAAATAATTACAGTTATAGTAAACAGCTACCTCTGCCTGTCTCCAAAGGTGTTGGATCCAGACATTGCCAATCACCACAGCATTGATTTAGGTCTCTGCGAGCCATCCAAGATTCATTCCAGCAGTGATATCGCCTGTAAGAATGTAAGATTAAAGACATCTCTTGGATCATCAAGTTCAATGCCTTATGATGGAGGAAAACCATGTCAGAGAGAACCTTTTTAATCAACTGAAGAGTCCTTATGTCTTAACACTGTTAATGATTTTTTGGGACAGGAGTTGTTTATTTTGCTTTATATCACTCAGACTGAAAATTTGTTCCAGGACCCTGCAGACCTGATTGAAAAACATTCTTCTTATAGCTTCCTTTTTCTTTTTTTTTAACTTGATAACTTGCTAACAGGGTTGTTTTAAGTAGTTCATTTTCCTAATATTTTCCTCCTGGCTCTTTAGAGGAAAATCACATACTGCTTTAGTCTTCTTTTTAATGGTTTAACAAAGAATAAACCCTTAAGTCTTTGGTGCTAAAATAAGATCCTCATTCCCTTAGTATTTCAGTTTGACCTCATCATTTTGACACATGAAAGGGCAGAAATTTCATTAAAAGCTCTCACATATGAGACTTGGCTACAAACAAAATTCTGGTGCAGTGAAACTACAAACATACAGGCCAAGGGTGAAAACACAAAATTCTGCTATAATGAGTGATAATGTCAGTTATATGAACACGAATAGAAAGATTTACAAGAATGAAGCAATCCATGATAAGGAACCTCAGGAACACAACATAATTATCAACCAAGTGATTATGACTGAAGATAGTAGTACTAATTTATGATAAATTTTCCCTTACACTTCATGATCTATTTAATATTTTTACAGCTAATAAAATTGATTGCTTTAGTCTTTCAACTGAGAAAGATAAGCTGGTAGCATCAATTCTTACAAGTGGAGTTCTTTTTCCTTTTTTTTTTTTTTTAAATACAGATTGAGCAGAGTGCCTCTTCAGTAATTTCATGTTTTTGAAACGCATTATTAGGAAACTGAACAGCCTTGCCACACCAAAGAAAGAGATACATTTATCTGCTAAATTTATTCTAGTCTTTCTAACATTTAATTTTTGATAAAACCAAAAGAGCTTGTTTATTTCCTATTTACCATAGCTTGTCTTTACCACACAGGTTTTTTCCAGTACAGTCAAAAATCTCATTGATACCAAGGGGATTCTCAATTGAGCATGGAAAACAGAAGTTCGTGACAACACGGCTTGGAATTCCCAAACACCTCATCACTAGAAGGAAAAAAATATTCATGAGTCATTACAAATGGTAATTAATCAAGCAAGTCCTTCACTTACTGTATAAATAATTCTCCTATATTTGCAATTATAGAAACACAACGGATAGGAGACAATATTTGGAATGCAGTGATTCTGTTTTCAAAACCTTCTTTTTAGTGGTTGAAAAGTAATCTGAAAACAGCCTAGCATAAAGGAATGGCTTGTTACTCTTCCAACTTTAAAAAAATATAAACCACAAAACCAGATCTGTTGTAAGTTCAGAAATAATGAACTTGATCCTCCATTAATAAAGCACCATAATTTTTTTTTTTTTTTAAACAGTGTAGCACATATAGATTCATCTATTGAACATCAATTTAATTTTCTTCAAAGTAGGAGCAGGTTCAGTAAATAAATGGTATAAAGTTGGAACTCAATTTTTTTGTCTATGGAGTTTAGTCCACTATTATCTCATCCTTCGTAGTAAAAGAAGTTAGCCTGCTGTTTTTATGTTTTGGAGGAGACATTGCTAGAGGTCTTCTTCCTATTCATAACTTAGTGTTTTTTCTCATCCTTCAAACCTCACCCAAAGGATAAATTTTGGCTCCACAATGCTGCACGTGCTCTACATTTTAATAAAACTTGTAGTATTGATAGCTGCATGGTCACAGAAAAGACAGAACTACTTTTCTTCTTGCTCTCCACACTGTATGGGAAAGCAATAGGCTGAGAATAAACACTGTATGAGGAGCCATGCCATACCATAACAGAGAGAAAATATTCCATTTCTTTTATAGTAAAATGCTTATGAGTAATATTATTCCAGCAATTTTTAGGGTCAGAGGGTTTTGATCTTGGTTTTCTCTCTTCCTTTTTGGGTAACTAGGTAAGGGCAGACTGAAATATCATACCTGTGCACATTACTGCAGCAAGAGACCCACAGTACCCATATCTGACCGGCCTGCATCTGCCATTGTACCACTGCTGAAGAATGGGGACACTTCCATTCCAGGAAAATGGTTTTGTTCCTTTCAAGTAGTCATTGTTTTCTGGAATCTTCATAATACTGCTAGTGGTATGGCTGCTGATCTAGAAAGAGAAAGGAAAACCAACCTTTTCAAATACCTGACCATGTCTTCACACCCTAAGCATATCACAAAATCATCACAGATTAGTGTTACAAGCTACCTTTTCCTGTGAGCCTGAGTACAGAAAGGATTTTCCCTGCTACTCGTACTGTGTTAGATTACGGTGCTATTTGTCCTTCTATAATATAATGAAGTATGACCCAATCTATTCAGAGGTCACACACTACTAGAGATCTTACCATGTGATTTACCACCATGCTGACATGCACAGGGTCATTGCGCCAACAATGGTCACGATCGGATCCATGATGGTAACTCGCACCCATGTCTAGGATCTTCAAGCAGATATCCAGAATCCCGTCTTCAAACTGAGGAAAGACAAGACAAGGCATCACAGTATTCTCACATTGATAAAGTACCTTTCTTGTCAATAATACAGTCTTTTTCATGAATAGGAACTTTCCTCTCTCCCTGCCCTTTTTTGGGGTTTTTTTTGTTTGTCTGTTTTTGTTTTGTTTTGTTTTTATTTTTTACATCAAACACAGATCCTAGTGATCTGCATGGTTTTGTCTGTCTGCCTGAAGGAAAACCAAAGGGAAAAACATGTCATTTGTGCTTACGTTTGACCAATGGAATAATTTTCCTTTAGAAGCACAATATTCTGTTTCACCTTTTCCCAGTGGTTTCCTTAATTTTACTACAGAAAACTTCCTTCCAGTTGTTTGACCTACAGTGAGATTCTCAAACATTTTGTTTTGTGGATGCATATTCTGGCCTAGTCTTAAAAACCGTTCACACTCCGTAACATAGCACGCATTTTTTGAAAAAATATGGATAACATTTCATTTATCCATATATAGATGACATCTACTTCTGAACAAGTCTTCAAAAGGTACCTGTCCAAAGTGCCATGGTCGAGAGGTAATATGCTTGTGAACCCCTTCATAGAGTATCCCATGTTCATTCAGAACATATTCTTCTCTATGGGCCTGATTGTCCATATATACAGGGTCATCTGGAAAAGATGGAGAGCTATCAGCCAGACAATATGTATATTTCTTACACTTCTTTATGTTCTGCTTCACTGAATCTCTTTCTTTTCCCACCTTTTTGATTTATATATGTCTTCAAGGGTTCAGGCTCTTTAAACAATCACAGTCAATTCATCTCTACTTACAACTAAATATTATCTTTATTAAGTCTTTCCCTGCTGTAGTACACCTGAATTACAGAGCTTGAAATTATCTTCATGGTAAGCTGTTCTAGGAATCAAACACTGTGCACTTAGAGTTGGTTATCTGATTTTCATCAAATTGAAAGCACACACAATGTGAGTATTTGCCATGTGAAGATTTTGGCAAGGTCCTACAGACTCCAGAATTGCTTGCTACTGAATTTATTTTGTATTTCTACTATATTATTTCATGGTGATACTGCAGAATTCACAGAATCACAGAATGGATGAGGTTGGAAGGGTTGGACGCCATCTGGCCCCATCCTTCTGTTCAAGCAGGGAAACCTGGCGCCGATTGCCTAAGACCATGTCCAGATGGCTTTCAAATATCTCCAAGGATGGAGACTCCACAAACTGTCTGGGCAACCTGTGCCAGTGATCAGTGATCTTTCCTGAAGCTCAGAGAAAACCTCCTGTATTTCAGTTTGTGTCCATTGCTTCTTGTCCTGTCAAGCCATTGTAAAAGTGGGGGGAAAAATGAGACTATGTCCCAATTACCATTAAGAAACCAAATCAAAACACTGGCTTGAGACAGTCTTGAACATGGAGGAAAAAGTAAAAAATAACAAAACAAAATTCCTCCAGTTTTCTCATTATTTCTGTGACTCCATCCCTTACTTTACCAGCTAAGTAATAAATATGTTCAACATTTTTACTCATGACTAGCATTTTTCTTAAAACTGTGTGATCATCACTAGAGTTCTTACCTGCACACCAAGGGTTAAAAAGGACATAAAAATCTCCAAGACATCGCTGATATGTGTGACCACAAGATGTGATTTGCATATTGAGAATATAGCGGCCAATGCAGGCATTGGAGGGAGGAAACACACTGATATTGATGCATTTTGGCTGATGAATTTTGTAGGAAGCGCTCCAGCAGGTTTGATCTAGACATCTGCCCATTGGGAAGGTACATTTTGTTTCATTTGATTCGCAGGGTCTGAGGCCTTTTCAGGAAAATAAAAACAACTTCAATAAGACTAAACTAAAAACATGTAAAAGACAAGTAATTTGCTTAGCCATCATTTACAATGCAAAGCTCCCAAGGGTGGATTTCTTTTTCACTTGTCACTTCTGTAACAAAGTGAGAAAACTTTACATGTTAGCAGAACTGCCTGAGTTAGGGGAAGGTAGTCTCTTCGCACAGAAGATGAATACTATTTGTCACTAAAGACTATGGGAAATACTATTTACCAGCAAAGGACTGGGAAAGACTACACAGAGTTTGGGAGTGAATACCTGTCTCCACGGTGAAAATGGCCTGATCCACAGAGTCATCCCAGTCCCGATTTTGGAAGCGAGCGTAAAAACTGAAGGCTTGCCCTCTCCTTATTATCTGTCTGTCAGTTCCAAAGAAATGGGTATTATGAATTTGGCAGTTGGAAGGACAGTTCAGGTCAACTTCTCCCAGCTCAATGACTGCAGGTTGGAGAAAGGAACACAAAGGAAAACACAGATAATTGAATCCCCATCATTCACTGAGGTCAAGATTACATGAAAGAGGAGATAATGATGAAAGGCAGAGATAATTGTTTTGAAAAATTCATTCAAAATTCAGTAACACTGAGATTGAGACATACATCCATAAAAGTATCCTTACATGTTCACCACTTCCCCAGCTTGCAGGTGGAAACTTGTATAATGCTTCGATTTAAAAAGCTGTGCTACAAGTTTCACATCTTTTATATAGTGTCTTCTTGCTTTATAAATACCTGATGCCGAGGGTTGATATTAGTGTCTCTACTTGAAAAACTGATTTTGCATTGTAATATTATCTCCACATTACAACATGCTCTATACAGACAGTTACTTTTCAACCACAGCTAGACAGCAAACGTTTTGCACATGCTATCAGTTGGAGTTGGTTTTATACAATAAAATATTAAAGTAAATTAAATAAATAAAAGACATGATAACAAATGTAGGTGTTTAAAAGCTTAAGTGGCAGTCAAATAAGGAATGAAAAAAATAGATATGAATAAATATCCCCCTAAAATTGTAAGTACTGTTAAATATGCATGCAGATGTCTCCATCTGCATTTCCCAAAGTCATAAAAGGTTTGCAGACATATTTGAGGAACTTAATGGAGAAGGAAATATTCACAAATTGTGACATTAAAAAAAAATGCTGACAAACTATACCAAGTGCTATGATTAGCTTGACAAAAATCTTGGTTGTTCCCGCCTTAGGCATCCTGCCTGGGTATCAGCTATTTCATGGAAGCAATTATGACCCTGGTGCCAGAAGGATGGGTGGCAACACACATTTTTACTTATTTGCATACAACTTTTTATTTTCAGAAGTGCTTCACTCTAATTGAAGACAATGGGAGCCGCAGATTCCCAGCAGTTTTGAAAATTGGACTTACTGAACTACAAAGTCTTGTATACCATTTTAATTCTACAGGGTTAAGTTTGGTCCTGCTAAGCCTGCAGAACAACCAAACAATGCAACTTCTCTAACTATATTGGCAGAAAGTTGAATAAAGGGTTGGCATTTAGGAAAAACTAATTTTTCCCATCCAGAACCAAGGGTGCATGCACACAAAAGGAGACTTATGGGACAGGGATACTTTTAACACAAACTAGCGGAGTTTCCCAGGATCACATCCTGAAGTAAACCATAAATGAAATGAATTGGGAAGAGAGGGTGGGTAGGGGAAGGAGAAAAAAAAAACAACACGGCAGCTTTTTCTGATTTGTTTCCTTCAACCAAAATAATTTCATTCTTCATCTAACCATCTAAATTTGGTAATGAATTGGTCATTCAGCTTTTCAGCAAAGATCAGCAGATAAATGCAGACCTGGGCGTTATCTATGTTAAAAAAACATGCACAGTCTCAACAACAAGCAAAAAATATGGCAATGCATTACATCACTATTGCTCATGAACACATCATACCTGCTGACAAGAAAGAGTAACAGAATTGAACTGAAAATCTCATATCTTAATGAGAGTTGTCAACCATAACACAAAGTACTCTGATTGAACAGAAAGGATTAGAAGTGCTCGTAGCACACATGACGAATTCCTGTGGTCAAGAACACTGGAAGAACCTGATGGATCCTCGCCCATCCTCTGGAGGCGTTTGTAAACCAAGACAACTGCACTTCATCCACTCATTAATCCAGCTGAACCGGAACATCAGGAAATTGAGATACTACATGTTTCCCAGGGAAGCTCTCTAAAGTCAGCCCACAGTTTGCTTATCAGAGTTAATTATCAAAACTGGATCACAAAGGAGCTAACAATTGCCTTCTTAAGCAAAGGCAGCTCAGAGAAAATACTAAAGGCTTATCAATTTCACATCTCTTACTGGTTTTCTCTCTTTGGCAGAAACCCGACCGCCAATACCAGTTATTGGGTTTTCTCTATCAATACATATTTTGCCTTCATTCCAGAGAGAATACTTCAGGTATCCATTGTGAAATAATTGCTTCTAGCATGAGAATACTGAAAACTAGTACTTCATAGTTAATACTGGAACTGAAATGTATTCTTTTCCAAGATTTTTCTTATTCTCCGAATTAGCTGTTGTTTCACCGATTCTTCGCCATATCTCTCTTTTTCCTTTAAAAAAGGAAAGGCTTTTTTCAAAAGTTGGTTCTTTTTCCTTCTCACTAAGTCCGCAAATAAAATCTAAATCATAAAAGTAATCCCTAGACTTGATTCCACACAGAATTATGTACAATATTTTTTTGTTTTACTCCTGACAACTTAATAATTTCCACTTTCAGTACTGAGTCAAGAGATAGTAAATTTTCAAGACACTCACCTTCCATTTTTCTTCTACATGTACTAGTATCTGAAGCACAGTACTGGTGGAGGTACCTGCTCCTCAGCAAGATGTGCTGCAAGGTCTGGCTGATCTCCTCTGCAAACCAACCTAATTTCCTCTCAGTAACATTTATATTCAGAACTAAAAGGCTGTCACACATATTGCATCAACAAAATACCGGTTTACAAAGAGGCCCCACCCATGTGTCTACTGATGCTCATAAATGATTCATTTTAACTTCCAGCATTATTAGGGAGAGTCCTGTGGCTGAAGGGAGGGAGAGGTCTTGGTACCTCACCTGTAGCATAGTACTCTCAACGTCCCACAACTTGTCATGTCTCAAAAATATTTTAAGACCAGGATGAATCTAAACACATTTCAGTGTAAGCCATTATTTTTAGCCATTTTAAGTTCTCATAAATCCTAGCACTTACTGTTCCCTTCTGGCTAGATATCTTCAATCACCTACAGAAAAATAATAAAGAACACTAAACTTAAGCTGAATTTAGACTCTCTGAATATGATCACTGGTGGATATTTTTAATATAATATAAGCAGAAATCCCAGCTTTCAGAAAGTCTGCGTAGCACTCCCTCCAAGTGGAGGTCAGAGTAAAATGAACAATTATAAACTTTTCTAGCTAAATTATAAAAAAAAGTCAGAGGCTATGCATTAAGTATTTTTTAAGTTGACAGTAAAATTTAATTTGAAAACTAAAGAATTTATTTATACTCTGTGTGTATTCATGTTCTAGCACACAACCTGTTTTTTAGCTTCTTAGCTTCCCCTCCACCTCCCTTCCCCCAAAATTATGAAAAAACATATGAGATTTTTTCCAATAATTTCTGTGAACATCAAACATTTAAATATTTTGACACAAAAATGCATTATTTTATTATTTTATTTAGGTTTCAGGCCCATTTAATAAAATAAAACAAAACGACAACAGTGTTTCCTCTGCACATTGTGATGAGGACATCGGCCTGCAAGTAGGGGAGAAGGACTAAAATTTCCTCTGTCAAAACCAGAATGAACATTTGCTACAATTGCCTCCTATCCTTCTTATGCCTCTATGCCAAGCTTTATTCCATAAGATATCCTTTGAACCTTTCCAAGTAATTCAACTTTGAATTTAAAAAAAAAAAACAAAACTAAAACTAAAAAAAACAAACCGAAAAAAACAAACCAAAAACCAAAAGTCATTCATTAATATAGAAAAAATGCAATGACTGAAGTTCAGTGATTTGCATAACTGCTTGGATTCTAGACAGTCCTTTAAGAAATCATAGCATCAAACTGCTTAACTAACAGCAAAATAACTTAGTAAGCATAACTTTAACAACTCAGGTATTGTGAAATAACTTCGCAGAAATTAAAGCAAAGAAAAAAAATCAGCCCATCAACAGTGGTTTTGGAAAGTGGTTAAAACAGTTGTATGACTGATTCATAATAAAGTGTACATAATATTCAATGTGTTCATATTTGAAATTTGTAAATATTTGGCCAGTCAGTGGGCAGACATGAAAAAATATATGAATCCGAAATATGTCATTCATTTCTCATATATCTGAAAACTTTCTTTTTCTTAATACTTGTCATTTGACTATTAAACTTCAACTCATTGAAAAATGAAAAATTGGAAACAATACTGTTCCATAAGAAATAATTCAGGAGCCATAAACTCATAATAAACTTTAAAACAGCCAGTAAAATGGAAATGGCAGTGGTCTAGAGACCTTCCTACAAACGGATGTCCATACTAGTGCCCAAAGAACAGAACAGAAAAGTACCAAAGGTGGTCACAGTTTCCAAGAACAGATTAAAATTCCCTTAAATACCTCTAGTTCAATCACCTGCCTAAAATATTTTGGTAAATGAAAGCCTATGACAAATAAAAGAAAACAAGTAAGCATCAGTAAGTAGCTGCACCTGTGGGTTCAAAGAGACTTAATTAGGAGTTTAAAATAATAAAGGCCTGAATCAGGAGCGGAACACTTTCTGTATGGATGTGAGTCACTGACTTTAGTAAGTATGCTTGCTTAGATCCTTGAAGCTGCTTTGGTGCCTATCTGTCTCTGCAGGATCACTATATAGGTACCCAGCCCCAAAGCAAAGCCTGCCAGATACCCAAGTTCCTGCCTATCAGTGTTTGCAAAGCCATCCAATTGCTGTTGCCAGCTCACAGCTATCCGACTGGTTGGTCCTCTCACTCAAGCCCAAGTCCCAAGTGCCTAAAGTAAGAATCTTTAACAAGGTAGAAAATCATAGCATACTAGCTCTCTAGGTGCACCCGGTCTATTCTTGCCCCGCTTGCCTTCCAAGCCCTGCGTCATGTGAGTTGGACCCAGGTAGTCCATGCAACAGGGCCGCCACCTTAAAGAAAGGGGTGTGGGAGACTGAGCACAATGAGGAAATGGAGGTACGGTTCAAAGAAAGGTTTTGCCTCTCAGCTTACGGCCTGTCTAAACAACCGATGTGTCCTGACTGCTGACCTCCATGGCCGCTTGCTGCCCTCTTTCCGAGGAGTCTCCTCTTGGATAGTAGCAGTTCCCCGCCTTGCCTGACAGCGAGGTATACCAAGCTAAGGTTGATAGTCCCTTTGTCCCTACTGGGGGTGCATTTCTCCTCTGCCTCCCTCTT